AGATAAGTTTTAAAGGTTAGTAAGTTAACCGTGACATTTATGAAAGTTCAGTGGCTAATGAAACAATTAACTCGTCAACCGACCATTTTCTTGTATTTCTCCTAGGAGACTACCAAGTTCAAAGAAAATACCCACATGAACAACGTGCCAAATTTTAGTCTTCATTATTCCCACGCCGACCTCTCAAACTCGCTTTTATAAGGCCCCCTCTCCCATTTACCGTAAGCACCAATTCCTTTGACCACTGAAAATTTCTGTTGCAGATAAACAATGGCTGAAACGAAGTCTGATCAAGCGACCGAAGCTCTATTTTCTCCATACAAGATGGGCAAATTCAGTCTTTCTCACAGGTACATACTCCTACTATTTCTTTTTTTCCCCGTATTTCTCCAATTGGGTTTGGATGCGCAGTAGGCAGCGTTTCCCTAAGTTCAAACTCGTGGCCAGCTGTAGATCGATTGATTGATGTAATCACTGTTGTTAGTTGATGAATTTTAGACTCAATTCAACAGAAGTAGAGAGTATTAGTCGTTCCTTCCTTGATAGATTTAAGTCGATTTATGAGTCAATTAAATCAAATATAAAAGTTCAGTTGAAACCGATTTTGTAGATGAAGTAATTTTGAACTTCAAATTGTTAACTTTTTTTTTTTTTTTTCCTCCCATTAAATTTTTTTTTTTTTGGAGTAAATAAATATTAATAATTTTCGCATTAATTGTGCAGGGTGGTGCTTGCTCCCATGACCAGGTGCAGAGCTCTGAATAACATTCCAGGGCCGGCCCTTGTTGAATACTACACCCAAAGATCAACCAATGGTGGATTTCTCATCACGGAAGGGACCATGATATCCCCCACCGCCGCCGGGTAATTCTGTAATTTTTTGGCAGTGGTACATTTTAATAATCGTTTTAAAATTAATCAAACCATTGTTTACATGTGTTGTTTTACTTATTCTATTTATGTCACAGTTACTCATCATTTCATTTGTATACTTATTAGAGCTTCTTCAATAAGCTTTTTAAAAGTGTTATGCTATTTATATTAAAACCTTAAAATTAAGAGTGTGTTTGGGAGAAATTTTTGTGGTATTTTAATCAAAATTATA